AAAAGCAAACAGTGAAAGGACACACTCAGCAGCCACCACTGCTGGATTCCAGGACCTTGAGACACTGTCTTGGGGATTGCTGAATGAGATCTGCTGTGTAGTGACAGCCCTGTCTCTTGACAGGAATGTGGTCCTCTGGAGTCAGAAGCCATGGTAATGGGTGTCCTGAGCAAGGCCTTTGATGTCCTGGTGCTGAAGTTTGGAGTCCAGAAGCGCATCTACTGCAATGTAAGTACCTCACCAATGTGAGACAGTGCCAACACTGCCTTGCCAGAGCAGCCTGGCATCACTGCAGGCAGTGGCTGTCCTGGTGCCCTTTTGTGCCAGCCCTGCAACAGGCAGAGCTGTGCCTGAGCTGGGCCAGCCAGAGGGGAGGGAACCTTCCTGGAGTTTGCCTTCCATCCCTCAGCCCAGGCAGGCACGAGGGACTGGGGTTGTGGATCAGCCCAGTTTCTCCCTGTGACATGCTGGGTAAAAGGGAATAAAGCCAGATTCAGGGGAACAGAGATAATCATACATCTGAAGCGAGGACAAGGAGCAAGGCTGGTTTTCATTTCATTTAATCAGATCTTTTATCTGGGGCTGTGACAGCAGCGCTGTGGGCCAGCACCTGCACTTGGTGACAGCATCCTCTCTTAATAACCTGGTTATATGTCTGGCAATGACATCTTTAAACAGGACATAGAGCATGATGTATGGGCTGGTGGTGTATGGCAGCAGCCCCTGATTTACATGCTAGGCTCTGGCTCACAGGCTGCTGCATCCCAGTTGTTGAAGGGCTGCAGAGGCAGCTGGGCTGTGCTGGGCAGGAGCAGCGTCAGCCCCATCCACAGGGGAGGTGGAGGAGAGCTGGGGGGGCACATTCCCAACACCCTCCCTGCCCGCAGGCGCTGCCCTTGGTGGACTTCCGCTTCCAGAAGGCAGGGAAGAAGCCAGAGCTGACACTCCTGTGGGAACCAGAGGAGCTGGAGGAGGAATCTGTGCCCCAGGTAAGACCTCCACAGCATGGGACAGGCTCACAACACCATGGAGGCTGTGGGCAACATGAGGATGCTGTGATGTCTGCAGGGACAGGTCTGGGAGGCAGGACTTGCCTTGCAGGGGGTCAGGTCCTGCTATCTGTGTCCCTTTCCCAGTGAGCTCAGCTTCAACCTCAGCCTCCTCTGCTATCCAGTCCAGTCCCATCACTGCCCTCACAATCTGACCCCTCCACAGCCTTCAGTCTTTGCCCTGCCTGCTGTGTGCTCTGCCTCCCAGTTCAGGTTTTTCCAGGAATTGAATTAACATGCTGTTTACTTCCTCCTTCCAGATCATCAATTAAGATGTTAAGTAAGATCAGACTTAAGGCAGCTCTTGTCTAGACCCTTCCCCCATCCTGGCACTCTTTGTCCCTGACATGGCTTTTTCTCGGGGTTTCCATCTCTGTGACAGGGTTGAGCCTCATTTAGGAGAAATTTTTTAAATCAGACTTCCTGAGATGCAGTCTCAAATGGCTTAACAGCATCTAGAAATCTCTCTCTTGTGTCCCTGTCATCTATTAACTTGGTAACTCAATCAAAGGGAGCAATCACATTTGTCTGGCTTGATTAAGTGGTGCTTCTTTGCCAGCTTTTGTCTGGCATGGCTGTAAAACCCCAGCTGTGACTGCTGCTATCTCTGCCTGAAGGGCTAAATCCCAGCCTCTCCCTGCACTGCTCCAGGGGCTCTGCACTTGAGCCCCATTTCCATCCAAGCCCAGCACATCCCATCCTTGCCCGCTCAGGTTTCCTGACACAGAGTGAGCAGACTCTCCAAGCTGGGGTGATGCATGTACTGGAGAGTCCTTCCCTTCCCAGGGTGGATGTTGTGATCAGAGCTGGATCTGGCTCTGCAAACATTTCTGCAGGCCTTCCTCCCTTTGAAGCTGAGCTTTCCTCTCTCAGCTTGGCTCAGAGAAGCCCTGTGGATGCAGCCTGGAGTGGCCTCAGTTCCCCCTTTCCTACAGGAGCAGGCATCACTTACACCTTAGCAGGGAATTGATGAAAAATGATGCCCTAGCATGAGCAGGGCCCATTTTGGTTAAGAAAACAGTTGGTAGAGGAAACTCCTCCACAAACCTTCCACACCTCCTAAGAAAACACTGGAGCTCTCCCATGGGATCAGACTCTGAGCTATCCTCCAAGCCAGCATATCCTTGAGTTTATGGGATGAGCCCTGGGATTCCTGTGAGCCATGCTGAACTCTGGTAGATTCACCTGGACACCCACAGCACCCCAGCTCCCCAGCTGGCCCCAACCCTTGGTCTCTGCTTCCTGGTTTAGCTGAGCCTGGCCAGGCAATGGGAGCATCAGGGAAGGCTGTTAGTGAGGAGGTGTGCTGGGGTCTGGGCTGTTGTTTGGCCCTGCCATAGAGGGCAGATGTTGCTCCCATTTCTCTCTGATCTCCAGGAGATGACCAGGGCCTCAGTGGACATCACTCAGGGGTGGAGTAAGAAGTGGATCTAAGACTCAGAGGATTTGATGTGAAATTGTGCTGTTTCACAGCAGTTCAGCAAAGGGATAAGGCAGGATTGCAAGGGAGGATCCTGATTCTCCCCCTTTGACTCACCCATATGTGGGGGGCTTTCCCCTGAGCACCACCCCCTGCACTGCAGCTAGCTGGGGCAGGCAGGAGCTGATGCTCAGTAACTCACAGCTCTCTGGCAGCCAGTTGTGATAGGATTTTCCTGCAGGTTGCTCCTCACTGGCCACTTTGGTACATTTAAGTCTCAATGAGATTTTCCTGTTCTGAATGATTAATCTGGAGCAGCTGGTGCTGGATGAGCTGGGAAGGGTTGGACAAGGTTACACCAGTAGCTCTGAGCCTGCTTCTGGTGGGGCCAGCCCTGAGCAGATGGCCCCAGTGAGCCCTGATACAGCACAGGGAACAGGCTCCAGCAAGCAAAGTCCCCAAATGCCTGTGCATGACCCCAGGACAGCCCTTCCCAATGTCCCAGCCAGCTCCTTAACGTGCCTCAAGGACAGACCAGATCAATACTTTCCACTTCTAATCCATCAATCACAGCAAGAGCTGGGGTCGGAGGAGCAGGGAGATGGCAGCAGCAGTGCAGTTCCTGAACAGGAGGGATTGATTTTCTGGGGTCTTCGTTCCCTTGCATCTCCCTTATCTATTGTGCTCCCTTCCTGGGTCTCCTCTCCCTGTGGGAGCACAGGCATATTGTTTCCTCCTTGTGGGATGCTGATGAAATGCTCAACGTCATGTGGAAACCCTTCTCACCACAGCTCAGCTTGGCTCTTGGCCAAGCTCCATTTAGGGATGATGTGATTCTGTGGCTGGAGAGGAGAGGCACGGGTGGCCTTGAGGGGAGGTTGGGACCCAAAGCCAAGGGCACAAATGCCCACAATTCTTCCCAGACTGTGTGGAGAGCAAGAGTGGGGCATTATCAGGCTGGGATATGTGAGGATGTTTTGGGAGGCTCATTCAGGTTGGTTTGGATGCCCTGGTTGGTGTCAGAGTTCGTGGGTTTGCCCTTGAGGATCCTGCCTCCAGCCCTAGGAGCACCCTGGACTCCAGCAAAGCTGTCTGAATCCATCCTGCCCTATTCCTTGGTTCCTCATGGGTGCACTGATGGAGGCAGCAAAAGCCAACGCAGCTTTAAGCAACTCTTGGTGTGTTTCCAAGCTGCCTGAAAACCCTCTTTTCTCTCTTTCTCTCCCTTGATGAAGGTGATCACCATTTTCACGCTGGTGGAGGTGGTGCTGACGGCAGATGGTGGCCCCCTCAAGTACAGTGCCCTGCTCAAGAGGCCAAGCTTGGACAAGTGAGAGCCCTGGCTCTGTGTGCTCCCCACTGCTGATGCTCCCTCACGTCCCAGGCCCCGCTCCGGCACCTGCTGGAGACAGAAGGGACCCACAAAGACTTGGGGTTTTGAGTTTTAAAACCATTGTGGTTTTATTTCTGGTTTGGATTTTAACTCCGCCTGGGAGCAGGGCTCAGGGCTTGAGCCTGCCCCAGGCAGAACATTTCTACTCTTGGGTATTTTTAGCATGATGCTTTCTTAATGTTTTTTTTTAAGGCAGTGGTGTCCATCTGCAGCTTCAGTGCTCATGGTGAGGGCTGAGAGAGGGGATATGTGTACCCAGGAGCAGAGAGGGGCTGCTCCACCATCCCAGGTGGGATGTGGACACAGTGGGATGCAGCCATGGGGCCGTGCAGGAGGGTTTCTTGCAGGGTTGTGTGTCATGTAATAAAAGCCGGGTCAGCAGCTGTGTGTGGAGCTCGTGCAGGTTTTATTTTGTGCCCTCCATGTTCCCAGCAGTAATTCACCTCTGGGCAGCCCCCTGCCTTCCCATGCCTGCCACTTCCCAGGCATTATGGAATTTGGCCTCACTGCCTGTCCCAGCCTCAGATATGCTTGGCCAGAAGATGTGAGATCAGGGCAGGTGTTCCCAGCTCCTGATCCTGCAGGTATTCCCTCAGTTCCTCTGACTTCACCAGGAGTCCCTGTGTGTCTGCTCCAGTCCCTCACACCTTGGCCTCCAGCCTAACCCTGCTCAGGGACCCTGTGGCACCATGTCCTTGCATCCAGTGCCTCACTGACCAACTGACCTCTGCTATCTCCAGCCACCTCTGCCTGCTCTCTGTCCCCATGTCCCCCACCCACACTCTGAGGATGTGTTGGGGGCGTGGGCTGCTCTGGCAGCCTCCACATCATCACAAGCAGTGGCTGGTGAAGGGATTGACATCTGGCAAGAAGGAATGGATCCATTGTGCCAGGCAGGGAGGGAGCCCTGCATCCCTCTGCCTCATCAGTGATGACAGCCATGGCCAGCACCAGCACATTGATCCATCTGCAGGAGCCAGGAGCTGGCCAAACCTCAACTGCCTGGGTCAGGATGGGGGATCAGGGCTGGGCACAGCACACTTCCTAGGAGCTGGTGAAGCCATCAATGACACCTGTAGTCCCCAGGACTTGTGCTCATGCAGAGTCCTTCCGGATGGCCTGGTGCAATCACGGGTGGATGTCGCCTGATGCTGGTGACAGGGGCTGTTCCTGCCCACAGCAGGTACCCTGCTGTGCAGTGTGCTGGCATGAGCTGCCCCAGGGCACCCAGCATGTCAGGCACCAGCTGTCCCAAGAGCTGGTAGGCAGCGTGTGACTCTGCTGGGAGCGGGGACCAGAGGACACTGACACCAAAGCCATTATATCCACTCCCTACCCCTCAGCCAGTGTCCCCCTCCTCGGGTTTGTCTCAGGAGAAACCAGGCAAATCCAGCCTAGCCCAGCTCAGCCTGTCTGCAAAAACAGCCCTTTGCCCTGTGCTCTCCCTCCCACTCCCCAGGAGCCCACAGGCAGTCACCCCCATTGGGAGCTGGGGCCCAGAGGTGCCCTGGTCCTCAGGCTGGAGGTCCTGCCTTGCTCGTGGGGGCAGGGATGGCCCCAGGGTGGGGCGATGGCATTGGGAGGGCCCTGGGAGGGCTGGGAGATAGTCGGTGAATGTTATCAGCCCATCGTCTGTCTCACGGGACAGGGAAGAGCCATAAAGGGCTGTCCCTGGGCCTGGACTAAGGCAGCATTCCAGGAGGAGCCGGGGCGGGCAGCATGGCACGGCCGCTTTCCTCTGGAACCTGCCTGCTCCTCTGCCTCCTCGCCCAGCTCACCGCTGCAGCCTCTGCTGACAGGGGACGTGTGGGACAGTGGGGTAAGACCCTCTGGTGGGGGATGCTGGGGCTCGTGTCACTTCTTTGGGGATCTCCAGGGACCACCTCCCTTTGGGATGCCAGCAAACGGGAACCCTCACAGCCACCTCAGGGTGCTCTGAGACCACAACCTTTGAATGGGTTGGTCTCAGCTTCCCCCCAGAGCAGGCCCTGCCCCCCCACCCCATCCCTGCTGCTCCCACCCCCCATTCCTGACTTTGGATAAAGTGGCCCAATAGCCACAGCCAGCCATGGTTACCCAGCCATTGCACACTCACTGTGGCTGATCCTCAGGCTCCTCATCCACTCTGCCAAGAGGTACAGGGGACTTCCCTGCCAAACTGTGCCTCAGTTTCCCTTCTACAGGTGGTTTCTGAGAAATGCTGATCTGAAAAAGACCATGCTGATCTCCTGGGGCTTCCTGGTCCTCCATGGGGGGGCTTATAGCAGCTAAATTCACCTCGGGTAGAGATGGGCATGCTGGACCCCCAGGGGTGCACCTGGAGGCTCCCAGCTCTGCTCTCACCTCCAGATGCTGAGAAGACCCCGGGCTACTGGAATAAAGGTGCCAGGAGGAGGCTGGAGTTGGCCCTGGCCTTGCAGCCAGTAGCACAGCGGGCCAAAAACATCATCCTCTTCATGGGTGACGGTGAGTGCCCCAGATCACTGCCAGGCCCTGCAGCTCCCCAACAGCCAGGGGATGTGGCTGATGAGAAGATGGGGCTGGGGCGAGCCCTTGGGCAGTGCCTGGGGAGGGCAGGGCTGTCCCTGGTCTGGCCCCCTGCCCCCCAGTGACTCAGATATGGCCACAGGCATGGGGCTGTCCACCATGTCAGCAGCTCGGATCTACAAGGGGCAGCTGGCCGGTGGCTCGGGCGAGGAGAGCGTCTTGGCCATGGAGACCTTTCCCCACATGGCCCTGGCCAAGGTGAGTGGGGCAGGGCTGGGGGGACACTCCTGCTGCCCCTGCTTGAAACCCCACTGCACCCGTCTTGCTTCCAGACCTACACCATCGACCGGCAGGTGCCCGACAGCGCTGGCACGGGCACCGCTTACCTCTGTGGGGTGAAGGCCAACGCCAAGACTCTGGGCCTGAGCGGGGCAGCCATCTATGGAAAATGCCACACCACCTTTGGCAACGAGGTGGACTCCGTCTTGCACCGGGCCAGGCTGGCGGGTATGGGGCAGCAGGAAACCCTGTTGGAAAGCCAGGCACAGCCATCCAGTGCCATGCAGGGCTGGATGGGCTCCCTGTAAACCCTTGGCCATGCTGCAGGCAAGTCTGTGGGCATCGTGACGACCACGCGGGTGCAGCACGCGTCCCCCGGGGCAGCCTACGCGCACTCAGCCAGCCGGAGCTGGTACGCTGACGCCAACATGCCCAAGGAGGCCCTGCAGGACGGCTGCAAGGACATCGCCTACCAGCTGGTGCACAACACTGACATCAATGTGAGCTGGGGAGCGGGAGCGGGAGGGGGGGCCGTGGAACACTGGCAGGGTGTGCTGAGCTCCCTGGCAGGTGATCCTGGGCGGCGGGAGGATGTACATGACCCCCAGGCAGACTCCAGACCCCGAGTACCCAGAGGACCCGGACCAAAATGGCACCAGGAAGGACGGCCGGGACTTGATTGCTGAGTGGCTGAGTGCCAAGCAGGTAGTGTGTGGGGGAGAGGAGAGGGAACCCTGGGCACAGGGTGTGTGTCATTGGCACAGGTTCTGCTCTCGCTGGCAGGGTGCCCGCTATGTCTGGGACAAGAAGGGCCTGGATGCTGTCAAAGATGACTCTGTGAGCCACCTTATGGGTAGGAGCATCACTGGCTGCCCCAGTGGCAATGCTTCCTCCTCCCCTCTCTGGACATGTCAGCAGAGGCACAAAGCAGCCCCGGCATGGACCCCCTCACCCTCCTCCCCCAGGCCTCTTCGAGCCCAAGGACATGAAGTATGAGCTGAACCGCAACACATCCACAGACCCCTCCATCGTGGAGATGATGGAGAAGGCCATCCGCATCCTGCGCAGGAACCCCAAGGGCTTCTTCCTCTTTGTGGAAGATGAGTAACTCCAGGCGGGCAATGTGGCTGGGGCTGAGGTGGGATGTACGTCCTGGGAGTAGGTGGCCATGCAAGGGGAGACCAGGGAGAGGGTGACAGCCACATTCCCCATGCAGGTGGCAGAATCGACCATGGCCACCACAGTGGCCGAGCCAAGCAGGCGCTGATGGAGGCTGTGATGCTGGACCGGGCGGTGGCACGGGCAGGAGAGCTCACCTCCCCTGCTGACACCCTGACCGTGGTGACGGCCGATCACTCCCATGTCTTCACTTTTGGGGGCAGCACACCACGGGGCAACTCCATCTTTGGTGGGTCCTGGAGAGGGGCAGTGAGCATCCCTCTTTCCACCTCACCCTGTTGCTCCCAAGGGAGGCTGAGCTTCCCCAGGCAGGGAGCTGGGGAGGGGTACCCAGCTGGGACAGGGGGTGACAATGCCTTTCCCTGTGCAAGGGCTGGCCCCCAGGAAAGCCAAGGACAAGCGAGCCTACACCAGCATCCTCTATGGCAATGGTCCAGGCTACAGCATCCGTGATGGGGCCCGTCCAGCTGCCAGCCTCCCTGCTGCAGGTACCAGTCTGCTGGGGATGAGGCAGAGCCAAGGGGTGGCTGGGGACAGATTCTCAGTGAATCTACTGGGGATTGGGTGGAGGCACAGAGTGGCTGGGGACAGTATCCCACTGGCATGGCCATGGATGGCACACCGGGTCCTGGTACCACTGTGAGGCTCAGGAGTCACCCCCTGCAGAAATCACAGTGATGCAGGTGTGGTGGGAGCTGTCCCCCAGCCCCGTGACATGTCAGTGAGCCAGACCCCCAGCCTCATTTCTCCTCTCTCCCCTGCAGAGGACAAGGACTACAGACAGCAGGCAGCTGTGCCCCTGGAGACAGAGACTCACAGTGGGGAAGACGTGGTGGTGCTGGCCCAGGGCCCCATGGCCCACCTGTTCCACGGGGTGCAGGAGCAGCACTACATCGCCCATGCCATGGCCTACGCTGCCTGCCTCGAGCCCTATGCCACAGAGCCCGGGTGCAGGGCAGCCCGCAGGGCCTCCCATGGCCCACGGTGCTCCCCACAGCCCCTGCTGGCCCTCCTGGCCCTCTGCATGGCTGCCCTCACAGGGAGGGGCTGAGAGGCTCTGGCTGTGTCCCACTGTGGGCAGGACCAAGGGATGCAATAAACACATCAGGTTGTTTGTCTCCATCCGTCCTGCGAAGGCTCGCAGTGGCCATCACCTCCTGAGGTGCTGCCCTGTGCCTGCCTCCCCAGCTGGCTGTGCCTCCTGGCTCTCCCCTGGGACCAGCACTGCAGGCACTGGCGTGCAGGAGGTGATGAAATGTGGGTGAGGAGAGACAATGTCCTGCCCAGCTTTTCCTGGTTGGAGCACTGTACACAAGGGTTGGTACATTCCTATCAAGGGCTGAGCAAGGAGCAGAGTTTTAGTCCACATCCATGGATTTATTGCCCATGAAAGCCTGGGAAGAGAGCAGGGTGCTCGGTGCACGAGTGACCCCAGGTGCTCCCCATACCCACCCTTATCCCAGCTCAGAGCTGCCCATGGCAGCCTGGGACAGGGCATTGCCCTGCCTGGCACCACAGCCAGGGTGCCCAGGGCAGGATTTAATGCTATCACTGCACTTCCTCTTGTCCCTGCATCTGTCTGTGCCCCAAGCCCATGTGTGCCCAGCAGGCACAGGGCCTTGTGCCAAGGAGGTGACACGAGCCCAGGCCGCGGCCTTTGCACTCAGCAGAGATGTGGTGACACACACCTCCACACACCCTGCTAGGGCTGATCCCTGTCCAAAGTCCCTCCCACAGCTGCTGGATTTACAGACACTGCCAGCAGCGTTGGCCTGTCAGATCACAGCATGCAGCTCCTGGCATCCCTCAGCCTCTGCCTCTGCGCAGGGTTCGGCACCGCTGTCATTCCAGGTGGGGACAAGGACGGGGCCGGGTGCCCGGCTGGCTGCGGTGGGTGCCCAGGGAAGCAGGCTGTCAGCCTGGCTGGCCACAAGGAGGGCCTGGGGAGGGGAGCTGGGGCTGCCCAGCTGAACAGGAATCCATGGGGCTTTAGTCACCCCTGCCCTTCTCGGGCACCACTTTTCCTCCGGATTTTCACTTGCTTCTGTGCTGGGGGCTGGTCTGGGGGAAGCGCCTGTATCCTCTATTACCCCTCCCTACCATGGATTTGGCTCTATCCCACTCACCAGATAACTCCCCGTCATGTCGGTTTTGCTGTCCTCCCCCTTGTTCCCTGCCCCAGGGCCCTGGGACCAGGCAGTCAGTGCAAGCCTGCACAGTCTCCCCCCACCCCAAACAACCCCCAAACCACCTGGTCCATGTGAGAGGAGGCCCCAGCATGGGAGTGTGCAGGAAACAAGTATCCCTGGGCTCTGCGTACCCCTCAGGGATGCCCCAGGGGTGCAGGTCCTGTTGTGCTGGGACTGATGGGCGTTTGCATTGTCCCAGCGGAGGAAGAGAATCCATCCTTCTGGTACAGGCAGGCAGCTGAAGCCATCAAAGCCTCCTTCAATATCCAGCCCAGGATACACGAAGCAAAAAACCTCATCATTTTCCTTGGGGATGGTGAGTCCAGCTGGCACCCCAGCAAGCAGGCTGACATGGCCAGTACTCTGCTGAGTGGGATGTGTGCAGGGCACCTGGTCCCGAGGGTGACCAGGACCCTCTCTCTGCCCAGGATTCGGGATCCCCACCATCACAGCCACCCGCATCCTTAAGGGGCAGCAGCAGGGGAAGCTCGGCCCTGAGACCCCTCTTGCTCTGGATGCTTTCCCCTACATGGCTCTGTCTAAGGTAAATTCCAGCATGCTGGAAAGGTGCCGTGGCGATCCTGGGCATGGGGCCATGGTTATCCCAGGCATGGGGCTGCTGGCAGTCCAGAGCTGCACATATGGGGTGTATGGGGTCCCTCCCCATACACAACATACATGAGAGAAGGATTGTGGCAGGGGTTGCTGCATGGAGACCCCACTGGAGACCCCTGCCCTGAGTCCCTCTATCCTCGGCAGACCTACAATGTAGACAGGCATGTCCCTGACAGTGCAGGGACAGCCACAGCCTATCTCTGCGGGGTGAAGGGCAACTACAAGACCATAGGGGTGAGCGCGGCCGCCCGGTACGGGGAGTGCAGCACCACGTTTGGCAACGAGGTGATCTCAGTGATGGAGCGAGCCCGCAGAGCTGGTAACGGGGGATTCAGGGCTGAGGGGAGCATGGGGGAACAAGGGGTGCCACACCAATGGCTTCCCCACAGTGGGAATGCCATAACTTGGTGGTGGGGACCCTGTTGGGGTCCTTGGTTGGGGCCTGATGTGCGGGGTTTGGCAGGGAAGGCAGTGGGCATCGTGACCACGACGCGGGTGCAGCACGCATCACCCTCGGGAACCTACGCTCACGTGGTGAACCGGGAGTGGTACGCGGATGCCAGCATGCCCCAGGAGGCGCGGCAGCAGGGCTGCAAAGACATCGCCTGGCAGCTGGTCCACAACGTCGACATCAACGTGAGCGCCACACGCGGGAGGAGAGGCTGCAGCGACAGACCCCTCTCAGGGCACCCCCACTAACACCATTTGTCCACCTCATCCTCTGCAGGTGATCCTGGGTGGTGGTCGGAAATACATGACCCCCGTGGGGACGCCGGACCCTGAGTACCCCGCCGACAGCAACCAGAATGGGATACGCGAGGATGGCAACAACCTCATCAACATGTGGCTGGAGGCACGGCCGGTACGTGATGCATCAGGGACGCTCCTCAGCCCACTGCCCCTGGCACAGGGACAGGCACCCACTCACCCCCCCGGGGATTTGCCCACAGGGTGCCCGCTATGTCTGGAACAAGACGGAGATGATGGCAGCTGCTGCCGACCCCAAAGTGAATTATTTGATGGGTAACAAATGACCCCTGTGCCAGGACCCAAGAGGTGCTGGGACACTCAGCCACTGATGCTGTCCCCAACACATTCCCTCACAGGTCTCTTTGAACCCGTGGACACAAAGTACAACCTGGTGCGTAACACCACCCTGGACCCCTCACTCAGCGAGATGACAGAGGCAGCCATCACCGTCCTGAGCAGGAACCCCAAAGGCTTCTACCTCTTTGTGGAAGATAAGTTGGGGCTTGTGCCCCCAGGGCCAGGGAGGGGGCTGTAGGATGGGGGTAGGGAGTCCCCAGCCCACCATGGGTGTCCATCTGCAGGTGGCAGAATCGACCGCGGCCACCATGAGGGTGCAGCCCATAAGGCGCTGACGGAGGCAGTGGAGTTTGACTGCGCCATCGAGCGGGCGGGCACCATGACAGACGAGTCTGACACCCTCACCGTCATCACTGCGGACCACTCACACGTCTTCACCTTCGGGGGTTACACCCTGCGCGGCTCCTCCATCTTCGGTGGGGCTCTGCCCTGTCCTGGGTACAGCCAGCCCTGTGCCCAGGGGTGCCCTGACTGTGGCCGAGGGATGATATGGGTGTTCCTTGGCTGATCCTCCTCATCCTCCTCCTCCTCCACTGCCCCTTCTCCAGGTCTGGCGCCTACGAAAGCCAGTGACGGGAAGAACTACACATCAATCCTCTACGGGAATGGGCCAGGATACCCCGGCCCTGACCGGCCCAATGTGGACCCAGAAACAGCCAGTGAGGACACGGAGGCCATGGCTTGGGTGGTGGGGTGGGGCTGGGGGCCATCATTTCCCTCCCCACCTCACCTCCTTCTCTCCCCTCCACAGTGCACTTCGATTACCAGCCACAGGCAGCTGTTCCACTGCCTTCAGAGACCCATGGTGGTGAGGATGTGGCCATCCTGGCCAAGGGCCCCATGGCCCACCTCTTCCACGGAGTGCAGGAGCAGACCTATGTAGCCCATGCCATGGCCTACGCCGCCTGCATCGAGCCCTACACTGACTGCCGCCAGCGGAACTCTGGCCCCGGCATCCACGGCACCCCCCTGGCCCTGCTCCTGCCTGCCCTCCTTCTGCCCCTCTTCCGTTGATCCTGTGTCCCTAGGGCCCCCCACGGGACACACTCATGTTCCCCTCCCTCCCCATGGTGTGGCACCTGCAGGCAGCTTTCTGAAGCATCCCTGCTCTGGATGCAGCAGCCATGGGGACACTGAGTCCCGGGCACTGGGGGGTTAAATAAACACGCAGTGTGACACTGGTGGGACGGGCGTGTTCGTGGAGTGGGGGTGCCTGTGCCATGTGGGCAGGGCAGGGGGTGCTGCCCACTGCTCCCATCCCTTGGCCATGGCCCCTGGCAGCCACCCAGCATATCCAGTGCTTTATTGACCAGAAACAGCAGCGGAAAATACAGCAGTGTCCGTGTGCCTGGGCTCCCAAGCAGGCCGGCATCGCCCGGCCCAGATGCGCTGCTGTGCCCACCTCGGCAGGGCTGGTGCATGGACAGAGGCCTGGCATGGGGAGGGCACCGTGCAGGGGAGGCTTTTGGCATGGGAAGCCCCTTGGAGACAGTGAAGTTCTCCCCCTGCCTTGACTATAAGCTGCCAGGCTGCAGTTTTTCCTAGAATTTTGGGATTGAATGTATTTGTCACTCTGATGCTCTGGAAGTCATGAGGGACACACTAATTTATTATTGTAGGATCCATAGGAACAATAGGACAGTGTGGGGTGCTCCTTCAGAGCTGAGCTGTGTACCCTGAGCCCAGGACCTGATGATGCAGCCGAGCCCAGCTCCTGGCCATTGGTCCTGGGTCCCACAGGGCTCTCTCCCCATCCCCTTGGGCTACTGGCCCCATACAAGGTGACCCTCCTGCCCCAATAGCTGTTACATGTGAGGAGGACAGGGGCTCACCTGGGCAAAGGCGATGAAGAAGAGCTGGTCATGTGTGTATTTCATGTGGTGCAGGGGATGCTCCGGGCCGTGCTCCCTCACCCACTTCTGGTAGGCCTGGAGAACAAGGGATGCCCTCAGCATGGCCTGGGTACTCCCCCAAACCCACCCTGGACCCACCCCCAAACCCCCAGCAAGCAGCAATCAGGATCCTGACCACTCCCTTGCTGCAGGGAGTAAGGAGGGTTTGGGCATCTCCTCCGCCTCAACAGGGATGGCATAAGCAGCTGCCCATGGCTGTGGCACCCAGGGTGGGGGGACACTCACGTAGTAGGCGAGTTTGAGCCCCCCCATGTCAGCAAAGAGAGCTCCCAGGGCCATTCCAAAGTGCTTGTTGGCCTGGCTCAGGCAGATCTTACCCGGCTCCAGCTGCTTCTCATTGCCCTCCATCTCCTTGGAGAGCTCGTGGATGGCATCGCGGAAGGGGGTGGAGAGGTGCTCACTCAGCACCACCACGATGCGCCACAGCATGTAGTTGTGAAGGATCCTGGGACAGGGACAGGGGCGGCCTCAGCATGTCCCCAGGCACAGGGAGGGTGGGAGCATGTGCCAGGATGGGGACACTGCTGCTCGGGGACACCTCTGCTCGGAGACACAGCGGGCCATGGCTGGTGGGCCACAGGGACAGGCTGGCACCACGTCCCTCCCTGACGTGCCATGAGTCTGGTGACCTCTGGCATGGGTGGCTCAGCAGGTGTCCAGGCATGACCAGGATGCTGTGGGGCTCACAACAGCACCTTTTCCACAAGCTTTCCCAGATTTCCTGTGCCCAGCCCGGCCTTCCCGCACCAGGAGGAGGGTGATGGTGGGAGGTTCCAGGCACAGCTGTCCTGTCTCCCCTGCCAGGCCGGGAAAGGTGCCAGGGGCACAGGAGGTGCCAGCCCCCCTCACCTGCTGGGTGTCACACGGATGAGGTTGGACACCTTGTGCATGTAGTCGGTGGCCAGCAGCACCACCTCCTCCTCCTCCGAGAAGTCGTCATGGAAGATGCGATCCAGCAGGCGCTTCCACTTGAGCTGCCAGGGCAGGCACTGTCAGGGGGGCATGGGGACCCCCACTCCATGCCACCCTGGAGGGGACGCCCTCCAGCCTTTCCAGCCTCCCACCAGGCAGCAAGAAAGGGATGCTCAGGGCCACCCCCCACTGTCCTGTGGCACCCAGTCCCCAGCACTGCTGGCACTGGGTGCCCTCTGTCTGCCAGTCCTGCTGGCTGCTGCTCCCTCTCCTGCTGTCCCCAAGGACGCGTTGTGCCCCCCTCACCTTCTCACTCTCCTCATCCTGCCCCAGGTAGAGGGTCCGTTCGGGCAGGGTCAGCCCGTCCTGGTCAATCTGGAACAAGAGATGGGCACTGGGTGAGCAGAGGGAGGGCCCTGTGCCGGGCCAGGCACCCCTCACCTTCCCTGTATCGCAGAGTGGCCCTGGTGTCCCTGGAGCCAAGGATGCCAGTGTGCTGGAGCAGCGCCAGGAATGGGCAGGTCGCTGCCTCAGTTTCCCTCCTGCTGGAGGCTGCTGGAGCTGCAGCAGGCAGCATGCAACAGGCTGGGAGTGCTGGGCACAGAGCAGGCCCCTGCTCCATGGCCTAACTGGTACATGGGCTGCCTCACAGCCTGCCCTATGCTGACACCACTCTCTGCCCCATCCCTGCTCCCTGGTGTCCCCCACCTGCCCCAGAGCAGCCCCATTGCTGTGCTGCAGCCTGCATGGTGAGCTGCATGGACACCCTCACTCTTCACACACAGCCCTGCTGTGCTGCAACCACAGGCACAGCCTCCAACCAAACACACACCTGAGCACACTTGCACGTACCTGCACACTCACACACACACACAAGCACACAGGTAACTCAACCTTCTGGACACACACCTATGGATGCTCACATGCCTACACGGGAACATTGTTCCATTTCACCCCTGCTCAATGCACACACACACACACACACACATGCACCCTCTCCTCTCTCTCTGGCTCAGCTCCCCACAACTCCCTGCACCAGCCTCCCTCCACTCACACAGCCGCAGCGCTGCCCGCACAGCCACGGGCACCTCCAGCCTTCCTCCCCCATCTCCCTCATCCTCTTTGCCCCCTTTGCTTTCCTGGACGGGAGCTGAAACCTGCAGCCCTCACACACACCCCAGCCCCCATACACCCTGTCCACTCACACCCACCCCCAATCACACCCCACCCACACCCCCTGCAGAAATCACAGTGATGCAGGAGTGGTGGGAGCTGTCCCCCAGCCCCGTGACATGTCAGTGAGCCAGACCCCCAGCCTCATTTCTCCTCTCTCCCCTGCAGAGGACAAGGACTACAGACAGCAGGCAGCTGTGCCCCTGGAGACAGAGACTCACAGTGGGGAAGACGTGGTGGTGCTGGCCCAGGGCCCCATGGCCCACCTGTTCCACGGGGTGCAGGAGCAGCACTACATCGCCCATGCCATGGCCTACGCTGCCTGCCTCGAGCCCTATGCCACAGAGCCCGGGTGCAGGGCAGCCCGCAGGGCCTCCCATGGCCCACGGTGCTCCCCACAGCCCCTGCTGGCCCTCCTGGCCCTCTGCATGGCTGCCCTCACAGGGAGGGGCTGAGAGGCTCTGGCTGTGTCCCACTGTGGGCAGGACCAAGGGATGCAATAAACACATCAGGTTGTTTGTCTCCATCCATCCTGTGAAGGCTCGCAGTGGCCATCACCTCCTGAGGTGCTGCCCTGTGCCTGCCTCCCCAGCTGGCTGTGCCTCCTGGCTCTCCCCTGGGACCAGCACTGCAGGCACTGGCGTGCAGGAGGTGATGAAATGTGGGTGAGGAGAGACAATGTCCTGCCCAGCTTTTCCTGGTTGGAGCACTGTACACAAGGGTTGGTACATTCCTATCAAGGGCTGAGCAAGGAGCAGAGTTTTAGTCCACATCCATGGATTTATTGCCCATGAAAGCCTGGGAAGAGAGCAGGGTGCTCGGTGCACGAGTGACCCCAGGTGCTCCCCATACCCACCCTTTTCCCAGCTCAGAGCTGCCCATGGCAGCCTGGGACAGGGCATTGCCCTGCCTGGCACCACAGCCAGGGTGCCCAGGGCAGGATTTAATGCTATCACTGCACTTCCTCTTGTCCCTGCATCTGTCTGTGCCCCAAGCCCATGTGTGCCCAGCAGGCACAGGGCCTTGTGCCAAGGAGGTGACACGAGCCCAGGCCGCGGCCTTTGCACTCAGCAGAGATGTGGTGACACACACCTCCACACACCCTGCTAGGGCTGATCCCTGTCCAAAGTCCCTCCCACAGCTGCTGGATTTACAGACACTGCCAGCAGCGTTGGCCTGTCAGATCACAGCATGCAGCTCCTGGCATCCCTCAGCCTCTGCCTCTGCGCAGGGTTCGGCACCGCTGTCATTCCAGGTGGGGACAAGGACGGGGCCGGGTGCCCGGCTGGCTGCGGTGGGTGCCCAGGGAAGCAGGCTGTCAGCCTGGCTGGCCACAAGGAGGGCCTGGGGAGGGGAGCTGGGGCTGCCCAGCTGAACAGGAATCCATGGGGCTTAGTCACCCCTGCCTTTCTCAGGCACCACTTTTCCTCCGGATTTTCACTTGCTTCTGTGCTGGGGGCTGGTCTGGGGGAAGCGCCTGTATCCTCTATTACCCCTCCCTACCATGGATTTGGCTCTATCCCACTCACCAGATAACTCCCCGTCATGTCTGGTTTTGCTGTCCCCCCTTGTTCCCTGCCCCAGGGCCCTGGGACCAGGCAGTCAGTGCAAGCCTGCACAGTCTCCCCCCACCCCAAACAACCCCCAAACCACCTGGTCCATGTGAGAGGGAACAAGTATCCCTGGGCTCTGCGTACCCCTCAGGGGTGCCCCAGGGGTGCAGGTCCTGTTGTGCTGGGACTGATGGGCGTTTGCATTGTCCCAGCGGAGGAGGAGAATCCATCCTTCTGGTACAAGCAGGCAGCTGAAGCCATCGAAGCCTCCCTCAATATCCAGCCCAGGATACACGAAGCAAAAAACCTCATCATTTTCCTTGGGGATGGTGAGTCCAGCTGGCACCCCAGCAAGCAGGCTGACATGGCCAGTACTCTGCTGAGTGGGATGTGTGCAGGGCACCTGGTCCCGAGGGTGACCAGGACCCTCTCTCTGCCCAGGATTCGGGATCCCCACCATCACAGCCACCCGCATCCTTAAGGGGCAGCAGCAGGGGAAG